CTATTTCTTCGACGTTCTTGAAGGCGTTCCAAGCCGCTCTCTTCCTCCTGCGCAGCTCGGGTGCCAGGTCATTTGTCATGTTGACCTCTCGACCTAGGTACACATAGCTGTTGCATTCGGAGATGGTCGTTCCATTGAGAGCGAATGGGGCGTCAGGAACAAGGCTGTTTCTCATAAACATTGTCTTCGTAAGATTCAGCTGTAGTCCTACCTTTCCACACTCACGGTCAAAGTCGGCCAGCATTTGTGCCGCTTGGCTGATGTTTGGTGTTATTAAAACAATGTCATCAGCAAAGCGGAGGTGGTATAGTTGCCGACCATCTATCTTCACTCCCATTCCTTCCCATTCCAGTCATCGCATGATGTTCTCGAGGGTGGCACTGAAGAGTTTTGGTGAAATGGTATCACCCTGCCGCACCCCTCTCTTGACATCAACGATCACTTCTTTGTAGAATGGTGAGATCCTGGTAGTGAATCCGCAATACAGCTCACGGAGGATCCTGATGTATTGGGCTTGAATGCCCTGATTGGCTAGGGCTTCAATGACCGCTTCCGTCTCAACAGAATCAAAGGCCTTCTTTAAATCAATGAACGTTAAGCAGAGCGGCATCTTGAACTCCCGAGAAACCTCAATGAGCTTGGTTATCGTGTGGATATGGTCGATGGTGCTGAATCCTTTGCGGAACCCTGCTTGCTCACATGGTTGTCCTTCATCTAGTGTTCTGCCAATCCTATTCAGGATGACTCGAGTGAACAACTTGTAGATGACAGACAATAGGCAGATCGGGCGATAGTTGCCAATGTCATGGATGTCTCCCTTCTTGAACAGTAGTACGGTCCTGCTGGTTTTCCATTGAGATGGAACCTTGCATTCAGACAGGTAGCGAGTGAAGAGCCGAGCCAGTGTATTGATGAGTACTGACGGCAGGTTCTTCAGGTGTTCAGGTCTGACCTTGTCTGGGCCGGGTGCTGTTTGCTTCTTTACTGACGAAATGGCGTGTCGGATTTCGGAAGGGAGAACGTTGGGAACGACATACCCATCCTGTGGAATTTGGTATGTCGGCAAGTGGACATGGCTATCGAAGAGATTTGAGTAGAAGTCATGGATAATCTTCTCCATTGCCGTTCTGGAGGATGTGATGGATCCATCAGGACGTCGGAGGGCAGTCATCTTGGTCTTATAGTTGGCGAAGGACAGGCGGGCGTTACGAATACTTTTCCCGGCTTCTGCCGCATCTACCAGTACTTCTGCTCTTCTCTCTTTGAGGTCTTCCTTGATCGCATCTCTGCACTGCTTTGTGAGCTCGGACGTTAGCTTGCGGTTGCCTGAGGCATGCGCCAAACCACGCTGGCGAATTAGCTCAAGAGTTTTCGAAGATAGGTGACTTTTTGTGGCTATCTCTCTCTTGGCGTTCCTCGCACATTCATGGAGGTGCTGAACCAGTCGATCGTATTCCTCGTCAATGTTGTCAACAATGGCATCTTCCCATGTTGCCGCAATAGTACCAAAGAGTTCCCAGTTGGTGGTCGTTCTGGGAGTTCTCTTTTTGAACTTTGCAGCCCTTTCTCCCCGCTCTGTGAAGTAGAATTTTGCACAAAGGAGACGGTGGTCCGATCCCGTTCGAAATTTTGGGACAACAGCGACATCAGTCAGGCAAAACCGTCGATTGAATATGATGTGGTCTATTTCAATTAATTCTATTATTCTATTATTTCTAATTAATTCTATTAATTAATTCTAATTAATTCTATTAATTAGAATTTGACTATTCCTAATTAATTTCTTATGAGTTCCAGTACTATGCTCCTTCTTTTAGTAGTTGCCTTTCTAAAATTATTTATTAAGTGTAAGGGGACATTCAGGAGAAGAAAAATGAATACATGCATTAATACAGAGGTGCAGATAACTCAGGTGAATGCCAAGAAAATCATCTTTTACCCTTTAGAAGATATTGTGACACCATTGATCGCTTTCAAGGCTTACAAATACCTAGCCATTCTCTGATGTGTTCATCATGCTTCATATGCCAATCTAAATTCTCCTATGGATATAGATCCCTAATAATTTCCAGTTTCAATACTTTATCTAATTTAGAGCAAGCCTAGGACCAATTAGATAGTACAGTGGGTGGGTTGTTTATCTGAGATTCAGCTGATTTAACTTTGATCTGCTATCATAGATGGTCCCTTCAAGCTCTGCCATGAGTGATTCTTGAACACAGGGCCATGAATAAGCCCTCAGCACTGCTGGGTCCAAATAAAACAAAAGTAATAAAACAAACCCATTTGATATCTAGTCTTGCTTTAAGTAGATATGGCAGATAGTAACATCCATTCTACATCTGCTGTATTCAGACATTTAAAAAAAGTTATTTGTATATGCATCTTTTAAAATGTAAATGAGGATAAAACTGTATTTTGTCCTGTTCCTCTCTTATTTTCCTCTGGCCCACCTTAGTACTTTTTCTTCTGAAACTGGGTTATTATGAGCAAAGTACCAAAACCCTTCTTTCAAATAATTAACAGCATAATTTAAATATAGTGCATTTATAAAGAGTATTTGTAAATTATTTGTTAAACACCATATGACTAGCAGAATTCAGAAAATGAATCCAACTGATTTCTAGTAGTAAGTGCCAAAGAAATTGTTTTGTAGTTGATATTTAGAAATTTTACATTGTGAATAACAACCATTTATGTCTAAATATGAAGCCTACTTTAAATATAAAACAAATTAAGCTGCAACACTATAAAATCAGAGATAATTATGCTTGGGGAGGGTTTGTCCATGTTTACATTAAAAGTTATCAGAACCATATTCCATAGTCTTATCTTACTTTTCAATTGTTAGATGTCAATGAAGCTGAAGTTAAAAGAAAACTACACTTTAGAATGAACATTTTCCTAGCAATAACTTGTCCTTAATTTTTGTTGTTAAACATTAACACCATTAATGTGGATGAAATAGGAGGGTATTAGGTTAAGAAAAATTTCATTTCATTTCATTTCATCATCCTGTTATTCGTCGATTGCCTCGAGCAGGCCCCAGTAACGTCTCTTTCATCCTTGCCCTGAGATTATATTCAAGGCTATTTAGGAGAATGAGACCCATCATTGTTACTGGTATTTGGCATATTTGGTACGCCATGGGGAGTTTGCCAGACTCTACCCTGTGGGCAGGCTACATTCGATAGCCTGCAAGTTTGTCCAAAGTAGGAATAAGACAATAAGATGTCATAAAAAAAAGTTTTGTTAAGATGTTGCGTGGCCGCGAATGCCCTCCAAGGGACTCCGGGAAGGAACACCCAGGTGCGGGGGCAGAGACTGCACTGTTCTCGTCCGGGATCTGGCTTTTATAGTCTCTGAGTCTTGGCCGCTGATGGGATTACACGGCGCCAGGGGGCCAGGTGGTGGGTGTGACCCCCGCCTACTGGAATTTGGAGGATCTGGGTGGAAGATGCTCGACTCCAATTCGAGTAGGCTTGGAGGTGTCGGCCCCGGAACCCGCGTGGCTTTGTCCCTCTGCCAGTACCTTCATGTGTGCGGAGAGTGGTCTCAGCATGGTGGTGGCTGGTCCTGGAGGTCTTCGGCTGCCGTAGCCCTGGTCGGGGTGGGGAGGAAAGCTCAACCCGCTCCCCTCCAAGGGACTCCGGGAAGGAACACCCAGGCGCGGGGGCAGAGACTGCACTGCTCTCGTCCGGGATCTGGCTTTTATAGTCTCTGAGTCTTGGCCGCTGATGGGATTACACGGCGCCAGGGGGCCAGGTGGTGGGTGTGACCCCCGCCTACTGGAATTTGGAGGATCTGGGTGGAAGATGCTCGACTCCAATTCGAGTAGGCTTGGAGGTCTCGGCCCCGGAACCCGCGTGGCTTTGTCCCTCTGCCAGTACCTTCATGTGTGCGGAGAGTGGTCTCAGCATGGTGGTGGCTGAGGAAAAAGATAAATATTCAAGACCCCATTATCTGAAGTAGAAAAATGACAAAATCAAAATAAGGGAATAAATAATATTAAACAATAATTAATCCTATGCACCAGAATGCAGAGCCAATTATCAAACAGTGGGAAGAGAGGAACAGGAAAGACCAGATTAGAAGAATTATAGTGAATGATAGTGGTGGAGGGATGTGGGCATTTTGGTGGTGGTAGGCTGTAATAAATTTGGATATTGATGCCACAAACTTTAATACCACTGTATCTACATGAAATACTTTTAAAACGATCAACTTCAGGCTTTTTTTTCACTCTGGAGAAGCTTTTGTCTTGAACACCTCTCTCTATCTCTCTCTCTCTCTCTCTCTCTCTCTCTTTCACTCTCTCTCTCCTATCATCTCTATATTTTATCTTACCTTTTCTCTATCTTTATATTTTATTTATTTATTTATTGCTTTTTGGGTCACACCCAGCAATGTACAAGAATTGCTCCTGATGGTGCTCGGAGGACCATATGGGTTGCTGGGAATCGAACTTGGGTTAGCTGCGTGCAAGGCAAATGCCCAACTCACTGTACTGTGGCTCCAGCCCCCATCTAGTTCTATATTTTAAACTAAAATAACAACCAAAATCCTCCAAAAAAACATTAATGGTATTGATAGTGTTTTACTCTATGCTGCTTAAAATTTTAATAATATAATTCATCTCTGATATCAGCGTTTATCTACAAAGGCCACTAAGACAAGAGTACATTAATTAGAGAACTGAGTGGGGAAGGTCACTGCCAAATGTGTTTCAGTATTTCCCCAACCCCTTCATTTCTTGCTAACAATTGCCTATGAACCAGGCCCTGAGTATGTTCTGAATTGTCTGTGAGAAGACAAAAATAGTAATTAAATATTACATCACAATTATTCACAATTGTTCAACAGGATCGTATGTCTTAACCTCCTATAGACAGAACATTAGCAATAAACAAAATACCTGAAAGTTCATAGAAACCACAAAAATGTGTGAGCATTTGAAGCAACCAGATTGTATTTTGTGTCAAGCAAAGCTGAAAGTCAACTTAGAGCTGAGTTACTTCCTCTTTTGAGGAACCAAAACGATAGTAAACATAGTTGAAAATGGAAAGACAGATTGTGGCTAAGCTTGCAAGAGGCCCAGTGAATTGACTCTGGCTTGGGAGTCGTGGCTCCTCAGAGGGCCTGGCTGGCTTGGAGAGAAGCCACTTGAAGTAGTCTTCTAGCTTGGCAGCAGGGAGGAAAAATCTCCACTTTTCTCCATGAACAAAAGTTAACTTTATCCTTGTATAAAAGTCTGGGTAAATATAAATGCTTGAAGTTGCTCTTTGAATGATTCTTAATAAATTTTGATGGCTACTGTTCTTTAGAGTTTTAACTTGAGGAGAAACTGATTTTTCTTCCACATGATCAGATAACTCAGGATAACCAGACATTTTTTAGTGTCTGTTGAAGAGATTTCAGAGTCTACAGAAGGTGATGTTTTCTTCAATGTTTCTGGTTGTATAAGTCTGTATAAATAGTCTATAACCTGTTTGCCCTTTTCTCCTACCAGAAACTGTAAACAGTGTATCCTGGAACAAGAATTTTGGTTTTCCAGTTCAGTCACCTTCTTCTTTTAAACTTCAATGTCATTCTTCAAAGACAGGATGTCTTTAGTTACTGTGGTTTGTCTCTGTTCATAAAAATGCTTGCTGGCTTCCAGTTCCTCTTTCTGCTTCTGATAAAAATCATTTTTTCCCTGGATTTTTGATACTGTGCTGATTATGTCATTCATTTGATTGAGAAGCTCTATCTGGGTAGTTGATATTTTGCAACATTAGTGTAAGAGACATTTTTTCATTAGTACTAATGTCACCTTGAGTACAATCATAAGAAGTCATAGTTGGATATATGATGTTCATAGGTTTATGGTAAATGTTTTTAAGAGGTTGTCTAAAGCTTGAGAGTTTTGAAGTCAGCATCTTTCTAGCAGCAGCTTTTACTCTTTTGCTTTGAAATTTGTACATTTTTCATAATGAAAAAAGTCAAGGTGTTGGGAAAGATGAACAAAGAAATAAGTAATGTCCTAATGAAATAATCTTTCTCTTAGTATTTGTTCAATGTCTTCCCTGGTAACATCAAAGAAAGCTGTATGAAGAACTTAAGGCAATAGTAGGCACTCTTAGATGGATAGCTTCTTATTAAGCACTTAGACTGCAGAACTCTGTGAAGTAATAGTCACCTGTGTAGAATCCTTCTGATGGTAATCCTTATTTCAGTACTGTTGTCAGAATGGCCATGGGCATAAACTTATAAACTTTAAAACTTACATTTTTCATCACAGATATTTATTGAGAAACACAGAACCTTTATTTTAGTGAATTATGAAGTAAAGTTTAAGATATTAACTTACATTACAATAAACCCATTATTTTCACATAAACAAAATTTTAGTGAAAAAATAATTATATCTTCCAAAGAAAAGTAGTGAGAGATATGGCATTGCATATATATTTGAAAAGGTTTTAAATAACTGGGTTGATAGAGAGCATCTGAATTTTTATTTCTGATTCTGAATTATATCTATTCTAAAATGTTTTCATTGAAACATATGAGTAATATATGATCTCATAGAGCAAAACAAATAAAAAAGGAGAGAATATTTTAATATCCACTTCAGATAATTCAAGATTTTATTTGCTGGTCTGTTAAATTTAACAAATGGCAATTGTTTAAAAGTTCGTTGTGCAATATGGATGATTCTCAAAGAATTAGAAACTGAGCTCCCATTTGACCCAGCAATACCACTCCTTGGAAAATATCCCAGAGAGGCAAAAAAATACAGTCGAAATGACATCTGAACTTGTATGTTCATTGCTGAATTGTTCACAATTGCCAGAATTTGGGAAAAAACCTGAGTGCCTGAGAACAGATGACTGGTTAAAGAAACTTTGGTACATCTACACAATGGAATACTATGCAGCTGTTAGAAAACATGAAGTCATGACATTTACATACATGGAAAATATCATGCTAAGTGAAATGAGCCAGAAAGAGATGGACAGACATAGAAAGACTGCACTCATCTGGGGAATATAAAGTAACGGAATGGGAGTCGAGCACCCAAGAATAGTTGAGATAAGTACCAGGAGGTCTGCTCACGACTTGGAAGCTGGCAGCACATACTGGGGGAAAAGGCAGCTCAGATAGAGAAGGGAACACCAAGTAAGGGATGTTCGGAGGACTCACTCGGGATACGAGGTGGTTGCTGAAAGTAGACTATAGACCAAACACGATGAGCACTTAATACCTCCATTGCAAACTGTAACACCCTAAAGGAAAGAGTGAGCAAAAGGGAATGCCCTGCCACAGAGGCAGGTGGGGTGGGGGTATGGGGTGGGGTTGAAGGGGCTACTGGGATCATTGGTGGTGAAGAATGGGCATTGGTGGAGGGATGGGTACTCGATCATTGTATAACTGAAACCCAAGCACAAAAGTTTATAAGTCTACAACTGTATCTCATGGTGTTTCACTAATAAAAAATAAAATAAGGTAAAAATACAAAAAAGAAAAAAATGTTTGTTGTGGTATGTAATCTTTGATAAATATTGTAAACTTTGTTGTGGTGCCAGGGATCAATCCCAGGCCTTCACCCATTTAAGGCACATTCTGCATTGTAGTCATATCCCCAGCCAAAATTTATAAATTTTTGTATTCTTACATTAAAATTAATTGAATTATGAAGAACTCAAAAATGTTAAATATTTTTATTATTTAATATTGAAATAGTATCACTTGTATTACTTGTCATCCTGTTGCTCATTGATTTGCTCAAGCAGGCACCAGTAAAGTCTACATTTGTCCCTGTCACATGCTAGTGTAGCCCAATGGCATATGCTCGCTCCAGGAAGATGGAGGGCATCAAACCATTTGTTCAGGGTCTTGACAAAGAAGTCCGACCATCTAGTGGGTGATCGGCCACGTGTTCTTTTGACATCCCGTGGAATCCAGATGGTAATGACTCTAGTCCAGTGGTCATCTCCAAACCTCATTATGTGTCCGGCCCATCTGATTTTTTTTTTTATGTGGGAGTACTGCTATTTATTCAGCCACTGATTCATTTCATTCATTTCATTCATCATCCTGTTATTCGTCGATTGCCTCGAGCAGGCCCCAGTAACGTCTCCTTCATCCTAGCTCTGAGATTATATTCAAGGCTCTTTAGGAGAATGAGACCCATCTGATTAGCTGATTGAATTGTGCATGAACTCCACCTTACTTTTTTTTTCATTTTTTATAATTTTATTTATTGAATCATCATGAGAGCAGTTACAAAGCTTTTGGATCTTAGTCTTGGTCATACAATGAAACACCCGTACCTTCACCAGTGCCCATTCTCCACCACCCAAAACCCCACTATACCCCCATCCCACACCCTCCTCCTACCTGTGGGACAGATGATTTCCACATTACTCTCTCTCTACTTTGATCGCATTCAATATTTCGACACCAGACCCACCATTTTTATTTGAGATTTTACCCCAACACTAGGATCTGCTGAAAAGGCAACAGTAGACAATTTGTGTTCTATTGCTGGTTATGAATAACATATGATATCACATGGCTGCAGTAGGGCCATGTGATTTTGAATTTCCGAAATTTTTACACTTAAATCTGGAGGGATTTCTGCCAAAAGCCACTGGGTTTCGAGATTTGCTCCTGAGTCTCTGGGATCAAGGCCGTTGCGCAGCTTGATCAGGAGCCAGAGAGGCCATTCGTGGGTGATGACTTGGGGTCTCGTTGTGGTGGGGAGGACAGGCCCTGCTGCACCCCCATCCCGTGAGGCCCAAAATGTCTCATCACTGTGGGCCCAGACCTGACTGTCCAATGGCCTCTGGAGGATGATGGCCACCGAGCCGCCAAGGGGGAGCAGGTGGAGGGACAACACCCTTTCCCACCTGGGGTGGCCCAGTGACAGTAACCTACTGTGGGATCCGGAAGCATTTCTTCCAAAAGCCGCTGGGTTTCAAGATTTGTTTCTGAGTTTCTGGGATCAAGGCCATTAAGCAGCTTGATTAGGAGCCAGAGAGGCCGTTTGTGGGCAATGACTTGGGATCTCTTTGGGGTGGGGAGGACAGGCCTGGCTCTCCCCCAAACCCCATCCCATGAAGCCCAACAAGTTTCGTCACTGTGGGCCCAAGCCTGACTGTCCAATGGCCTCTGAAGGATGACGGCCACCGAGCCGCCAAGGGGGAGCAGGTGGAGGGACAACACCCTTTCCCCCCTGGGGTGGCCCAGTGACAGTAACCTACTGTGGGATCCGGAAGCATTTCTTCCAAAAGCCGCTGGGTTTCAAGATTTGTTTCTGAGTTTCTGGGATCAAGGCCATTAAGCAGCTTGATTAGGAGCCAGAGAGGCCGTTTGTGGGCAATGACTTGGGATCTCTTTGGGGTGGGGAGGACAGGCCTGGCTCTCCCCCAAACCCCATCCCATGAAGCCCAACAAGTTTCGTCACTGTGGGCCCAAGCCTGACTGTCCAATAGCCTCTGGAGGATGACGGCCACTGAGCCTCCAAGGGGAAGCAGGCTGAGTGACAACAGCCTTTCCTCCCTGGGATGGCCCGGCGACAGTAACGTAGTGTAGGGTCTGGATGCATTTCTGCCAAAAGCTACTGGGTTTCGAGATTTGTTTCTGAGTCTCTGGGATCATGGACATTAAGCAGCTTGATCAGGAGCCAGAGAGGCTGTTTGTGGGCGATGACTTGGGATTTCGTTGGGGTGGGGAGGACAGGACTAGCTCCACCCCCATCCTGTGAGGCCCTGCGTGTCTCATCACTGCGTGTCCAAATCTGACTCTCCAATGGCCTCTGGAGGATGGCGGCCACCAGGTCGCTGGGGGGAACAGGCCAAGGCACAAAACCTATTCCCACCTGGGTTGGCCCAGCACTGGTAACCTACTGCAGGGACCAGACGCATTTCTGGCAAAAGCAGTTGGGTTTTGAGATTTGTTTCTGAGTCTCTGGGATCATGGCTGTTAAGCAGTTCAATCAGGAACCAGAGAGGCCATGTCTCCAATTCTATAGCTGAGCCAGAGGTGTTTTGTGGGTGTGTTTCCCACATACCTAACTTTTGGCCATTTACTTTTTTGGTAAACTTTGCCCCAAGTTTTTGGGGTCTGGCCAAAAGCATAGCAGCAATTTTGGGGTATCTGGAAGTCTGAAGGCGCCATCAGGCTGCTGATGCACTAAACCTCACAGGTACAGATAGACCTGCTGGCAGCACCATACCCCCAGCATCTGATTTTATTTTATTTTATTTTATTTTTTTAGTGAAACACCATGAGGTACAGTTGTAGACTTAAAAGTTGTTGTGCTTGGGTTTCAGTTATACAATGATCTAGTACCCATCCCACCACCAGTGCCCATTCTCCACCCCTATCAATCCCAGTATCCCTCCCACCCCCCCATCCCCATCCCACCCTGCCTCTGTGGCAGGGCATTCCCTTTTGTTCTATCTCTCCTTTTGGGTGCTGTGGTCTGCAGAAGAGACATTGGGTGGCAATCATGTTTTGTCTATAGACTACTTTCAGCATGCATCTCTCATCCTTGGTGGATCTTCCCAGCACCATTTACTTGGTGCTCCCTTCTCTATCTGAGCTGCCTTTGCCCCTACAGTTTTCAGCTGGCTTCTAAGCTATGGAGTGAACAACCTGGTATTTATCACAGCTGCTCTTGGGTGTTAGTCTCTTATTTTGTTACTTTATATTACCCAGATGAATGCTATCTTTGTATGTCTGTCCCTCTCTTTCTGACTCACTTCTCTTAGCATGATATTTTCCATGTAGTACAACTTGTATGTAAGTTTCATGACTTCATTTTTTTCTAACAGCTACATAGTACTCCATTGTGTAGATGTACCAAAGTTTCTTTAACCAGTCATCTGTTCTCGGGCACTCAGGTTTTCTCCATATTCTAGAAACTGTAAACAGTGCTGCAATGAACAAACAAGTGCAGATGTCACTTCGACTA